TGATGGGGCTATACTCTGAGAAATGTATCATTAGACCATTTAATTACATGCGAACTTATCATAGATCAACCTTGTCCAACCTGAGGTTCACGGGACACATGCAGCAGGACAGCTTTAAATGTGGCCCAAAACAAATTTGTGAACTCTCCTAAAACATTGAGGTTTTTTTCTGTGTGTGATTTTCTTTAGCTTATCAGCTATTGTTAGTGTTAGTGTATTCTATGTGTGGCCCAAGACAATTATTCTTCCAATGTGGCCCAGGGAAGCCAAAAGATTGGATACCTCTGTCATAGAGTGTATTTACACAAACCTAGATGGCATACTCTACCATGTACCTAGGCTATATGACATAGTCTATTGCTCTTAGGCCCCAAACCTGTTCAGCATGTTAGTATACTGAACACTGCAGGCAGTTGTAACACAGTGGTATTTGCATATTAAACCCATCTAAATATAGGCATGTGCAAAGCAAGAGTGGAAGCAGAAAGGTCGATGAAGAGGCCATCTTAGTCAGTGGTCCAATGAGTAAAAATACAGTATTATAAGCTTATGCAACTACTTTTGTATATGTGATCATTGTTGACCAAAATGTCATTATATGGTGTGTGACTGAGTATCCTTATGTGTATGTGTAATTTGCTTCTTACCACAACATTCTTGGAAATTAGCATAATAATATATACTTTATATTTTTAGTTAATAAATATTACTCTTCCCAAAAATCCTATGAATATACTAAGGTGATTCCCATATTACAGATGAAGAAAAGTGAGACATAGAAAGATCAAGTAACTTGTTCAAGGTCATATAGCTAATGATTATTTAAGGTGACATTGATTTTAGATTTGTCTGACTCAGAGTCTGGGCACTTAAATATCCCTCTAATCAGCTTTCAAGACTTAGCTTCACTATAAACACTTCTGGAAGGATTTTCTCAGTACTAGCACCTGCCGAATGAGAGACTTTCCTCTCTCTGTGTTTCCCTTATTTGCCAGTTTGTGTTTCTGATGATGGGGTTTGCATTTTTCTCTAGGTTCCAACACAGAGTCATAGAACTTGACCTGTTAGGTGTCAGCAATTGCTAGTTAAATAAACGATTGTAAATGATGATATGGAAGGCATTCACCTCTTACATTTGGAAGACAGCCTGGGGGAGACTTTTCTTTTGGGAAAGAGAATAATGAAGGAAGTAGTATCTCATTTATTCACAACAGAGAGGGTTTTGCAGATCATCATGTAGTGAAACTGGCAGAGGGATCAGCTGGCAAGGATCTTAGAGACACTAAAACACAATTTTTCATTTAACAAACAAGGACAATAAAGCTTAGTGAGTGAAAGTGACTTGCCCACAGTCAAATCAGTCTGGAAAGTGCCAAAGTGAGAAGCTAGTTTTCTGAACCCCCATTACAGATTCTTAATATTATCACATGATGAACAATATGGGGAAATGACAGCCCAGGGGAAATAAGGAGATGCTAGCTGTATGGGAAAGAGTTCGAAAAGGAAAGAGAACATTAAACATTTAGCAAATGAAGAAAAAAAGCACCAAGGATTGCAAAAGGAAGAGACAGGGACAAATTTATCAACTTAATATATATCAGGGTGAAGTCAACCAACCTGGTGCTGGGCTTGGTTTTGGAACAGGAAATATATTCTCAGCTGCTTTGGAGTAGAACAGATGACTTGGCTATTCAGAAATAAATTCAGACAGATGACCAGTCAATGTGAACCACACAGGAACACAGCAGATCTCAAGACATCCTTTATTCTTTCCCTTGGAAAAAACATAAATGCTTACAAAGGGCAGACACATGCGGATCCTGCCCAGTACATGGAAAGAACACAGGCACTGTGTCCTATATCTTGACTCTAGGTCTGTGTCATTGAGCAACCTACTTACCCTCCCTAAACTGGAGTATGCTCATTAGAAAAAGGAGCTGCTGATTTTTAAATAAGAAGCTTGTGAGGGTTAAATGAGATAGACTGTAAGATTCCTGTGATAGATGAGGTACTTGGCAAATGGCAGTTATTGCTATTACAGTCATGCATCATGTGATGATGTAGGTATGCGCTAACAGATAAATCTAGGCAATTTTGAGGTTGTGGGAACAATACTTAACACAAACCTAGAAGGCATAGCCTGCTACACACCTAGGCTATGCCACAGCCTATTGCTCCTAGGCTACAAACTTGTATAGCATGTTACCCTACCGAATACTGTAGGCAATTGTAACACAACGGTAAATAGTTGTGTACCTAAACACATCTAAAAATAGAAAACGTACAATAAAAATAAAAATATGCTACTACAATCTTCTGGGACCACTGTAGTATATGTGGTCTGTCATTGAGAGAAACATTGTTATGTGGTCCATGATGATAACTTCAAAGGGAATGGTGCCCACAGACAGAAAATAAAACAATTTCCCATATAAGCAAACCAAAAAAAATGAGACAAAAGGAAATTGACCTTATTGAATCCTTTCTATAATTTCTTTTGTCTTTCTACAAAAGGCTCTATTTTATGGAAGGAAGAGGAGAAGGCATTGTATTGCAAGATGATTTTATGGTGGTTCTATTTAGGACATTTTCTTTTCTGTGTCTGATGCAAGGAAGACTCGTTTGAGGTCAGAGTGAGATCAAGAGTTTCCAGAGGGATTTATATAATTTTGGTTATAAGCTTAAAAATGTAGTGTTAATTAATCTATGCTAATTTATTTACCCTTTGATTTTTCTAAAACATTGAAAATGGCATATTAGAAGCAGCAGGTATATTCAAAGCTACAGATGAGGAAAGAAGTAAAACCATGAACAGCCACAGCAGAATAATGAAAACACAGCATTCTGGCCCACTTCATGCATGGTAAAATAGCCAAATATATTTAATTAGCACCCAAGGGCATAGTATATTCACTGATGCTCATACAGATTTTCTTAAATCACCAATTAAAGTTTTTACCTGTCTACACACTGAAAGGACAAAATATACACATTTTATGAGAAATCAAAGCAAGCAGGAACCCGTTTCATGTCTCTGAGAGAACCTGGTTTACCACGTGGAGGTTGTCACGCCGAGACCAGGGCTTTTCATAGATGCTATGGATTCATGGAAATCATCTTCCTCTCTTTACTTCAGTCACCTCATATTAGGAAATGATGGGAAAGTAAGAATAAGGGGTTAAAAGACCTAGAATTTAGTTGGGAATTCTTTTGGTTACAAATGATAGAAAGCCAACTCAAACAAGTTTAATGATAATAATAATGATGATAGAAAAAAGAATATATTAATATGGACACTGGAGCATATAATAGAACCAAATAACAGAGATCTTAGTAAGCTTCAAGAATATGAGAACCAGGGGCTTGAATACCACCAGCTCTCTCTCTCTTTCATGTCTCCATTCCCCTGCCTCTGCCACCAGGGTCTCCTTTCATCCTCTGCTGCTCATGACAAGAAACAAGGTCAGGAGGATTAGAGGGAGGCAAGTAAGACACCTTAGGCCTCAAATTTAATGAAGCCATCACTCTCAGTGACAATCCCCAAGTTTGATACTCTAGGTCCCTTGTTTGTCTCAGCTCACCTCAAACCAGCCCTGCTGAAAAACGTGGTTTCCAAGAACAAGCAACCACCCAGCCAAACAAACAAACGAAACAAAACCTGCTTTTGTCCCTTTTCTCTTTGCCCAGGCTGAAATTTCTTAGGGAAGGTATATCTTAAGTAAGTTTGAGTTCGTGTGCACTATGAGTCAGCTACTCATGATTAAGGAATGGGCATATTTTACATTGTTGGAACCAGAATACCCATGTGGATGAGACTGGAGAGGGGCAAGATGATAAGATTCTCAGAAAAAATTCCAGGCAGAGGGTATATTGATATTACCACATTTCCTGGATTATAGGTTGCTGTTTGTGCAGTAGTGGGTTCAATGGTGGTGTCCCAAAAGGTATGTCCACATCCTACTTTCAGAATATGTGAATGTGACCTTATTTGGATAAACGTATTTTGTGGATGTAATTAAGGTAAAAATCTTGAGATGAGATCATCCTAGGTTATCTAGGTGGGCTCTAAATCCAATGACTATTTATTTTTACCTGAGTTACACAGAAGAAAGACCCAGAGACAAAATAAGGCCATGTATGAATGGAGGTAGAGATGGGAGTGGTGCTGCTACAAGCCAAGGGCTCCCTGGAGCCACCAGAAGTTAAAGTGACCAGGAATGGAAGCTGTGGGGTCCTGCCAACCCTTTGATTTCGGACTTCTGGCTTGCATTGCTCGGAAAGAATAAATCTCCATTGTTTTATGCTACCAACTTTGTGATAGCTTGTTATCGCAGCCCTAGGACACTAATATAGCCACCAAATAAGAAAGCTTTGGTAAGCCACAGGACTTTGGTGTCCATCAGGGGAGCATCAAGTTAAAATTGTGGGCTCTGGAGCCAGGCTACCAGGGTTTGAATACTGGCTTTGCCATTTAATAAATATCATCTTGGGCACCTATTTAACCTTTCTGGGCTTTAATTTCCTCATTACTAAAAGAAGAGTAATGATAGTTAATTTATGCAGAGCTCAGAATAAGGGCTTGGCATATACTATATACTTATTGTGAGCCATGATTATTCATGTGTAAATTTGGGGTGATAATAATAGCTTCCCTGCCCATTTCATGGTCCTGCTAGGATAATTCACTGTGGGAATAAATGTGAGTCCATTCAAGTCAAGTGGTCTACTGTGTACGAGGAAATGGTCTAGAAAATACAGAGAACAAATAAAATAAGCTAACCTTGAGAAGCTTACAGTACCATTGTGGACTGAATTATGTACCCCTAAATTTGTGTATTGAGCTCTAGCCCCTGATGTGACTGTATTTGGGGATAGGGTGTTTAAGGGGTCATTGAGGTTAAAATTAGGTCATAAATATAGGACCCTAGTCTGGTAGGACTGTTATCCTTATAAGAAAAAGAAGAGCTATCAGGGATTTATCTCTCTGTGTGTGCACACAGAGCAAAGGCTGTGTAAGGACAGTGAGAAGGCAGCCATCTGCAAGCCAGGAAGAGAGGCCTCACCAGACACCAACTTGCCAGCACCTTGATCTTGGACTTACAGCTTCCAGAACTGTGAGAAATAAATTTAGCCACTCTGCTACAATATTTTGTTATACCAGCCCCAGCAACATAATACAAATCTATTAGTGGAAATTATGAAGCAATTCATATTATGATTTTGTATTTTACTATTATTAGAACCTACAGCTAATTCTTTCAACCAGTAAGCTGTCTGTGGAATATTAAGGGTGTTTCTGTGGTACAAACTTTTTTGTTTTATACTCTGACTCTAAGAAGTTCGCTGAAACACACAGTGGAATTCAGGAAATTCAACAGCTTTAAATGAAATACTCCCTTGAGTCATGGCAGCAGGAAAGAGATAAGGATAATAAAAAAAATTTTTTAAAAAGCTTTCTACTCAGGGAGATATTTTGCCTTTGTAAAATGTATTTATTCTAACTACTCTCACTTCTATATTTTGCCTTCATTTGGAAGTCTATTGATATTAAATAATAGGTTTATTCCAGTATGGATTAAAATGATTCTGGGATGAAATATTATTCCTTCATTGGAAGAGAAAATTATTTTTCCTTTCACATAGTAGACAAATGCTAATCTTCAAATGTCCCTGCCAGTTAAATCCCTGCTCACTTCCTCCATGGAGCCTACTATGACACCACCTCTTTCAAATTAGCATTAATTAAACTGTCTTCCCTCTGTGTGTGGCATGTGTCATGATTTGTTTAGGGAAGATTGAGATCTCCAAAGTCAAGGGCAGTACCTTTAAGTCCTGGACTCATCTCTTTTCCCACTTCTCCCATAGCCAATGGGGTCTATGCTTAGAAGAACTTCAATTGATGGGCTGGAAGGAGTCTCACCTATTCCTATTAATACACACACACACACACACACACACACACACACACACACACACACAGATAGAGAGAGAGAGAGAGAGAGAGAGAGAGAGAGAGAGAGAAAGAGAGAGAGAGAGAGAGAGAGAGAGAGAGAGAGAGAGAGAGAGAGAGAGAGAAAGAGAGAGAGAATATTTTCTGTTCAGAAGTCCTGTCTTTTGGTGTTCTCTAAGTTTACTATATGATAAAAGAGTAAAGCATTACGAGGAAGAAAGCATTTAAAAGTAAATGCTGACAGCACTGCTCCAGCCTCATGGGCCTGGTATTCAATTTTCTTCCCTATCTGCCTTCCTAAGCAGGACGACTTTCACTGCTTTCCTGGTTTTGACTAATAAGTATCCTTTAGAGTGCTGCTATCTGGTGTTTCTAACTTTAGTTTACCAGGGCTTTTGACCTCAGCCATGTGCATTGCGTGCCTGAAAAGTGTTTTTCTAAGTGTGATTCTTGGACCAGCAGCATCAGCATCATGTAGGAACATGTTTAAAATGCAAATGGCACAGCTCCACTCCAGAACTACTGAATTAGAAACTCAGCAGCAGAGGGAGAGCTGTGTTACACACAGCAATTTGTGTATTTTGAAAATTTATTTGTTTCTATTGATATATATTAGTGGCACATTTTCCGGGTATGTGTGATATTCTGTTACCTGTATACAGTGTGTAGTGATCAAATAGAGTAATTGAAATATCCGTCACTCCAAACTTGTAAATTTTCTTTGTATTGGAAACATTACAAATTTTATCTTCCAGCTCTTTTGAAATATGTGGTAAATTAATAATTAAATCTTTTCTACTGTACTAGGAACTTATTTCTTCTATTTAATCTGCATTTTACAGCCTTCTGAGTGATTCTTAGGATGTTAAAATTTGAGAACCACCACTACAGAAAGTTCACTTAATCTCTTTGCATCCTCAGCTCTCAGCTGATATGGCTATAATTTTTATTCTGTAAGGTGATTTTTTAGGACTTAATGAGCTCTAAAGCCCAGTAAGTTCAAACAGAAGGTGCTAAATAAACAGAGTCAGCATGGAACCTAATACTCCTGTGTTAAAGCTGTGGGTCTGAGTAACCACATTTTTCCTTCACAGGGCCTTCTACTCACATGGCTTCTGTGCATCTGCTTCAGGAGACAGCAACACTTGCACCCGCACTGCAGCAAGCGCCCATCACCTGGTGCATATGCTGCTCCGAGTCTCATCACACCTTGGTGAAGGAACACATGGACGCATGTGTTAGCGGATGTGTTTACATAGTTTTATACAGAAAGGGGAAATAGGTTTTACAATAAATGTTTACATACTATGGAGCACATTTTTTTTTCATTTCAGACAGAAAGAGACATAGAAGGAGAAATTTTGCCTGAAGCCATTGATTCTTTATTCCCTTGCAATGTTTTTTCCACCCAACCTTGAAAATAACCCTGTCTCAGTTAGGCAGGATCTGTGCTGAGGCTTGGGTCCCTGGGGGCAAAAAAACGTAGTAGTGACTTGTAGTTGAAACTGTCAGGAAGGGAAAAGTTGATAGTTCAGAGGTAAGTACTCTGAACCCAAGCAGGGTAACCAAAACTCAGAGATACTTGAAGCCCACAAGCTAAGCGGCAGGAGCTAGGGACCGGAAGGATACAGGAGCTATGTCACAAATAATTTAGGAGGTGACTGGTATGATTGCCAGAGAGTCCACAGCATGCTTTACTTGGATTTTATGGATACAATGGGGATAGGTTGCTTTTAGGAACAATACAGAAGTGTTTGTTTATTAAACTAATGATGATTCAGTAATATTGACAATGATGACAGCATGCAATGTAATAATCTGATGTGCTGTTATTCCTCCCTTTTCCTGTGCACATCTATTTTACCCTGTGACGTTATTCCATTGAGTCAGAAATAAGAAACCAGTATTGCTGCAGTACTGGAGGAAATGAAGAGTAAAAGTTAAAGAAATGCAATTATAGTTTTTATATTAAAAAGGAGCTTAGGTTTAATGCAGAAATATTTGGGAGAGGTTGAGGAGAAGACAAGAAAAAACTTGCTCCAAACCTTCTTCCACATAATCACCTCTAACAAACAAATGTACTAGATAAATATGATTTTCCAAGCTAGGGAAAAAAGGGCAGGTGGAGAATGTAATTTACAAAAGTTAATCGCCAAATGAGGTCTGTCCTGTTCCTCTTTCTCCTCCTGCCGTAATAAGGAGCGGGAACATAGAACTCTCTGGTGAATATGGAATCTAGGAGTAGAAGAAACCTATCTTGCTCCTAACTCAGAGAAAGCAGATTCACAGATGGTCCCCACACTCCAAAGTCATGGGGATTGTAGAGTGCAGAATTATTCCCCAAATTCTTTCCTGGTTCTTTAAATATATTTTCAGGAATCAGTCCTGTACTATTAGACTCTTCAAAAAAAATGAAATTTAAGTAATAAGTCCAAGACTGCACAACAAATACACAGGAGAAGCAGCAAAAAAAAATGCAAGGAAAGAAAAAGCAGATGAGGCAAAGAGTCCCTAGTAATCTTCAGAGTTCTGCCTCCAGGCCAACTATTTGACTGTGGATGAAACCTACTTAATCCTTCCTCATCTATAAGAAATATGAATACTCACTTTGCCTACTTTACAAGGTTCTTGAGATGATAAGCCAAATGGAGTTATAATATATATTATTTATCCTGCTTGAGATCCTCTGATGGTCTTAGATCTGTGGCTTGATGTCTTTTGCAATATTTTGCAAAATTCTTGGATGTTATTCTTTCAAACCTTTTTTTTCCTGCTTCTCTCTCTCTCTCTCTCTCTCTCTCTCTCATCCCTTTTGAGTTCCAAATACACATTTGTTAGACCATTTAATATCATCACATAGCTTTTGGGTACTCTGTTCTATTTTTCTGTTCCTTTGCTTTATTTGTTTTCACTTAAAAAATATTTTTTCTTTCCACTTGGGTAATTTCTAAATTTCTAATTGTCTTATCTTCAAATACACTGATTATTTTCTTGGCTGTGTAAAATTTCATGATGAGCCTGAAAGGAATTCTTCAGCTCAAATAAAGTCCTATTTTATTTCTCCTATTGTTATTTGTAAGCTAAAATTTCCCACTAGTGCTGAAATGTTTTGTACCTTTTCCACTAAATTCTTTAACATATTAACCATAGTTATTTTAAAGCCTAACATTTTGGTTATTTCTTATTTTTGTATTGTTAAATTGTTTTTTTATCCTGACAATGGATCATTTTCACTTGCATTTTGTGTCTTTGTAATTTTGTCTCAAATGCTAGCTATCTCATGCAGAACAGTAGAGACCTGAGTAAATACTAATTACTCCTGGAAATGGATGCACATTTTGTCCTTTAGGCAAATAATGTGGAGGTTTGAGAAAATCTGGTTAGTAGTTGAGTAGGGCTTAGATGTCATTGCTATGATTACTTCAATGCACTGCAGACTTTTCTTTAATAATGCCTTGAGCTTAGGGTGAGAGTTGTGGTGCTGAAGTGTTTTTCCCAATGTACCTACTTTATTCTCATGTTTAAGGTTTCCCTGTGATGTGTGCCATGTGTTTTTTCTGCATGCCTTTTCACCTTCCTCAGTGATATATTGCTATTGCTTGCTACTTGGTGCATGTTAGGCTGATGGTGGTGTTTTTCTTTTTGTTTGTTTATTTGTTTTGCTAGTCTAGCCTTAGGTAGATACAGTATACCTGGGCCTCCTTTTCTCCTTTTCTTTTTTTCCCAGAAAAGTGTATATAACTCAGAAAGGCATTGCTCCTCAGTCTGAGTACTAGACTAAAGATTAAATGGAACAGTGACAGAGCTGACCCATGGCAGGCATGTAATATGAGTGAGAAATATTGCTGCAAGCCTGTACAATTTTAATGATGTTGCAAGCCTGGATAACTTTACTGTCTCATATTACTGCATAATAGCTTACCTTAAGGTAACTGTTACAATTCCAAAACACTATTTTTTCCATCAAAAATATTTGTATACAATAAAAGACTTTTACAGTTCATAAAGATGCTACTTTTTGTTACCTGGGTATTCTAATTACTTGAAGAACAGACCCCAAAGGGAGTCTCTTCTGTTTAAGTGGAATAAGAAAAGGGGTGAAGTAGGGTCATATAATGCACTTGGGCTGGATTTTAAATTAAAAGCTTTGGGTTTCATTTTTTTTTTTTTTAATTTTTTATTGGATTATAGGTTTTGGGGTACATGAGCAGAGCATGCAGGACAGTTGCATAGGTACACACATGGCAGTGTGCTTTGTTTTATTGTTTTATTTCCTCTATTTGTAAAATGAAGGAGATGGGATGAAGTTTAATAATTTTCAACTTGTGGCCTTCTAAGGAAACTACATGTTCAAATAGGCCTGGACATTAATTGCAGCCTGAAAAACTAATAATGTCTTTCACATAGTGTTATAAGCTGAGCTGGTCCCTTAGTGCTATACCTTTAGATTCAGACATTGAGGTCCTAATCCCCAGTTAGGCTCGCAGAGTAACCTTATCTGGAGATAGAATCTTCACAGAAGAATTAAAGTTAAAGTGAGGTCATGACAGTGGGCCCTAATCCAATATGACTGATGTTCTTATAATCCAATTTGCCTGGTGTCCTTAAAATTGGATATTACTAATATCCTTATAAAATCTGGAAGCTTGGACACAGAGACAGACACACACAGAGGAAAGACGATGTAAAGACACACAGGGAGATGATGGCCATGCCACTGAAGCAATATACGTTCAAGCAGAGGAACACCAAGAATTGCCTGCAAGCTACAGAAGCTAGAAGAGGCAAGGAATGATTGCATGGTCCTGCTGACAATTTGTTTTTGCACTCTGGCATCGAGAACTGTGAGACAATACATTCTGTTGTTTTAAACCACCTATCTTTTCGTACTTTGTTGCAGCAGCCCTTGGAAACCAATACAGAGCTTTGTGCTGGAAAGCAAGGTGCTGCTGTAACAAGTACCTAAGAATGTGGAAGTGGCTTTGGAATTCGAAATTAGGTAATGAGTAGAGGGAAGAATTTTGAAGCTTTTGTTGCTCTCAAGAGAATATTTATGGGAATATGAATGTTAAAGTTGCTTCTGGTGAAAACTCACATGAGGAACATGTTATTGGAAACTGGAAGGTGATTCTTGTTAGAAAGCCACATAAGACTTGTTGAATTTTGTTTTGTTGGGTGGAAATGCTGTGGACATTAATATAAAACAGTAATTAAAAGTGTTACAGTTACTTTTCGTTCCTAAACAAACAGTGAATCTCATAGTCATGGGTCCAGTTCTGTAGTTCTTTTATTGTGATGTGGGTCCTTTGTCAGATGCTATGCTGTCTGATATTCCATGCTTGTGAATCAGAAAATCTCTGATTCAGGAAATCAAAAAATCTCCTAAGCAGGAAAACCAGCTCATAGAATAGCTGGTCCATCTAGGATGGAAGGGATTCAATGTAGCCAACTTGCTATGAAGTGACTGGATTGGTTGGACATCCAGACTCAACAGAAGTTGAATCAGCTTTGGTAAGAGAGAATCCATGCTGTTTGGCCTGTGTGCATGGATTTCTACATTTCTGCCTCGGTGGCTTCTCTGAGTGATTAACTGTTGTTAATCACACCAGTTTTGGGGTGGCTAATGATGAAGCTGGCTTATGTCAACTTGCTGTCGTTGTGTCTATGTTCTTCAGTGTTTCTCCCATGGTAGGTGCTTTCTCATGTACCTTAACATGTAAAACGAAACTTTTGGCACTTTGTGTTCTCTCCCTTCCTCCACGGCTTTCTGTCCATCCACATGCCCCTATTCCAGACCTCCATGTCTCTAATCTTGCAGACTTTTGCATCCAAGTGTCTACGATCTGGCCAGGTGAGTAACTAATAACTGCTGCCCAAAAAAAGCTGCATATTCTCACTCCAGGCTACTTTTCCTTCCACATATTGTGGATGAAGATGTTCACTGCTCATAGCTTAGTGATGATTTTCTCTTTATGGCGTCTTTTGAGTCCACTCCTGGATTTGGCTGTTATGTAGCTACACATTTCCCCTGACAATTTTTTTGTGCATCTAATCCCATTTTGTTGTCTGCTTCTCTGAGGCTCTAAAAGGAAAACTAGGTGATACCTAGGGGTATGAGAAGACAGAGATTTGGGGACTGGCTCAGTCATTAACTGGCTGGCAATGAGGACCACCACCCTGAGTAGAATGTGGGGGACAGATAGTTCCTGGCACAAGACATCCATCTTCAGTGGAGAATTAAATGCCTAAAGTACTGATGATACGGACCTAGGAACAAACCCT